CATAATCTTGCTTCGTGAGGGGACTGTTGCTGTGAGAGGGATGGCCCCGTGAAGCTGTTGCAATATCTATGCTCCAACTCGTGCAAAGACATCGAGAAAACATGAAAACCCACTCCTTAATTCTATGTCGGGGTCAACCCTAAACCCTAAACCCTAAACCCTAAACCCTAAACCCTAAACCGTCACTGGCCTAGGGTTCCCTGCGCTGCCATCAACAATGGACGAGCCTGGAGCTTCCCAAAAGTTCTGAAGCCTTGCACGCGTGAGGATTGATTCCGTCGCCGCAGACGAATGTACGAAACCGGACATCAACGCCAACAAGCAGGACAAGAGCATGTCCATATGCTGTAATAAGAGTCATAGATCCCGAGCCCTGAAACGTACATGAGGCAATGGGCAGGGATCTGAATAGTTGGCTATTGCTCTCTATACGGTGACACCGACATCGATCTTGAATTTGCTTCTTGAAACTGCCTTCCTCCTGCACCCTAAACCCTAAACCCTAAACCCTAAACCCTAAACCCTAAACCCTAAACCCTAAACCGTATTGGACTACAGGGTTGAGGGTCAGGGGCTTATGGGTCTACTTGAAGGATCATGGGATTTAGTAAGTAAGGTTATCAATTGGGGCTATAAGTGTAGTTACCTTAGTTATAACCCTACTTACTAAGTCCCATGATCCTCTAAGTAGGCTTCTGGGTTTAGGCTTCAGGGCTTGAGGCTTGGAGTCTAAGGCTTACAGCAGCTGGGGCCTTGATACTATGTCCTCCTCGAGTCATGTAGGAACCTGATTAAGAAACCCTGGCCGTTGAGGGTTTAGGGCTTAGGGTTCAGGGGTTTAGGGTTCAGGGGTTTAGGGTTTAGGGCTAGGGTTTAGGGTTTAGGGTTAAGTGTTTAGGGGCCTATAACCCCGAAACCGTCGGATTCACAGAAGGAAACGTAGCAAAAGACCCAGGGTTTCTTAATCAGGTTCCTATCGTAGGGTCCCCAAACCCTTAACCCTTAAGCCCACAGTAGCGTCACTAAGCCAGACGAGACTCTGTCCAGAAGCCGATCACGGCATCCTGCCCCGGTTTCTTTTACTCAAAAAGGATTAAGACTCGACAAGAAAACCTAGACCTAAACTCTAAATCCAAAACCCGGTAAGCTCTAAACCCACATGCGTCACGCCCTAAACCGAGCCACGAAAGTTCACAATTTCAGGCTCAGGTTCTGAGTTCGGGGGTGAATTTTTCAAGACGAGTTCGAGGCTCAGAGTTTTTGCGTTTGGGGCTTTGGGGCTCCTGGTCTGTCCGGGGTTTAGGGTTTAGTAGGTTTAGGGTTTTGGGTTTAGGGTGTAGGGTGGAAAGGATATGTTACGGGGACTCTCTCCCGAAGTAGTAGCCGTCTGTGCTACGAGGTGTATAGGGGCCTTAATAATTAGAATAGGGTATATCATACAATAAGGAGCCCCCCAAAATAGTGTTGGTAATTAATGGGTAGTTCTCGAAACTGGGGTCCCTTTTTGGGGGTCCCAAAACAGAACGGCGCCCTTATAAGCAGTCATTTGGAGAACTACCCATAAACTGTTTTGTTTCTGTCCTTACCGACATCCTTCTACCGGAGCTTTAAGGGCACATCAGTGGGTTGTGAGAGCTCATGATCTCCTTAATTAATGGCGGTATTATGTAGGGTTGAAGGGTTTAGGGGTTTAGGGTTTAGGGGTTTAGGGGTTTAGGGCTTTAGGCTTTAGGAGTTTAGGGTTCTGTAAGTTGACCTCTCCGAACGTGTAAACAAGAAAGCATCCAAGTACCTCGGCGGCCTTGCATGTCATCCAATTTGGGTCTTACCCTAAACCCTAAACCCTAAACCCTAAACCCTATGCCTAGCCCCTATAACCTCAGATCCGGAAACCGAAACTCCGTAAATTGCGTCAACTTGTGGCCAAGCTGCATTCAACCAATGGCCCGAGTCTAACCTCGGATAACCGGAAGAGTTCTTAAATAACAACCCTAAACCTATAAGCCCTAAACCCTAAACAGGGTTTAGGGCTTCGGGCTTTCGGGATAACCTATAAGCCCTAAACCCTAAACCGGGTTTAGGGCTTGGGGCTTTCGGGATTTAGGGTTTAGTAGGGTTTCGCGCTTTCGGGTTGTAGGGCTTCGGGTAGACGGCTTAGGGCTGGAATGGCTTTGGGGCTCTTGGGGTTCATGCATACCCTGAAGCCCTGAACCCTAAACCCTATAAACCCCAAACCCCACATTCCCAAGCCCTGAAGCCCAAAACCTGCATGTCTGGGCCCTTCGACAGAGGCAGAAGCTCTGACTATGAGACTGCATGATGAGACTGTTCGATGGACACCCTAAACCGCAAAACCTAAACCCTACACCCTCTTTTTGGGGGGGTATGCTAGGTCCAGGGCTCCAGGATATTAGTTGGTTTTGGGGACAGCTAGGGGGGAAACCTAGGGTTTAGGGGATACTATATGGTTTGGGCAAAGCTAGAGTTAGGATCCTGAAATGCTAGAATGTTCTGGTGTTGGGGTATGCGACACTGCGAGCATATAGGGACTATGCTTGAACAAAAAGTATAGAAGGTTATCATGAATAACTACTCATACTCAGTCGTTATACAAGTTGCGATGAGGCCAAAAACCCAAATTACTACTGCAATATAGCGGCATTATTCCAAGCCTAAGGAGCTATACTAGATGATGCACCAAAACTGTATTCTAACCCTTAAGTCCCCATATTCTCGCTACGCCCCAAAGAAATCAAAACTCGAAGCCTCAAGCACACAGCCGAATTTTGTAAACCCCTTTCAACAAATCCATGGCGGACCTGGAAAGACTCAAAACTCAAAGCGTCAAACCTCATCCCTGAGAGCACGAAGCCTTGAAACCGAACTCCTACTCCTTGCAACCTTGCATAAAGAAACCCAGTAGCAGAGCCAGGTCCGCGCGAGTCACTCGCGCGGACTTCCAACTGACCAGCGCCATGGCAGGTGGCCAAAGGAAGCGCCGGAAGTGGAAGGGGGCTTCGGGTGTCGGTCTGTAAGACAAGGTCTATGGCTAGCTTTTTGAGTTAACGTAAGGTTGTTGATCAAACCCCAAAGGGTTTAGAGTCTTTAGGTTTGCTTGAATCTTATGGGCGTTTTAGCATGTGCTTTTCCAGGCCGTTGGAGCTTTCAGGATGAGGATTTTGGGGGGTAGGCTCTCGGGCGATTTGAAGAAGGCGTTTGCAAGCTGCTGTGGTTTGGGTAGTGTTTGGGATCTCAATCTCGGATTCGTTGCATGGCCAGTGCTAACGAAGCTCCACACATCCAAGGCTCAAGTGTATCTTAGGAAGCTAGCAACTCGGGTAGAGTTTAGGGTTCGGTTCTCAGTTTAAGTTTGGGGGTGTCAGATGACATCTACGGCTTCTAACTCGAACCTGATTCTGTAGCGGCCTATGTGCACATGTGCGGCGCCGACAGACGCTGAAATGAAAAGCGTTGTGCAGATGTCTGCCAAGCCTGATCGACAGAACGGCTGCAGGGCATGTCGCTACTGCGTTTGGCCTGAGGGTCCAACAATACATGGGACGCAAGAACTAGCATGAATTTTGGGGGTCTAGTATGCTATGATTGCCATCAGGAACCCCACGAAATACGATTCGTGAGCAATCACTCAGGATTCTAGATTACGCAAAGACTTACATGTCCAGAATCCTAAGGGAACTAATCGTTAACCTTCGGGTCTTTAATAAAGGGATTATGGGGCACCAAACAGGTTAAAGGAGACCTACTCTACTAGTACGACGAAAGGGTGAGCAGACTCTTAGGTTGCTGGGCTTCCCTTCAGATTGGGACTACTGGGCGTGAGTCTCTCGATGAGTGTATCCGGTATGATATTCTCCCCGGAGGTTCCCAAATTTATGAATCCATCAATCCTGCTTTGCTTCCGATAGACCCTAAACCCTAAACACTAAAACCTATAAACCTTAAGCCCCAAACCCTAATCCTACATCCCACACCCTATAAAACTTAAACTTGTTGGAATGCCTGTATGACTTTGGCTGCCCAGTACCCTGGCCAAAAAAAGCGTAAACTTTTCTTTTAGTAGGGGCTTAATATACCAAAAATGTTTAAAGTTAAACCCTCAACCCTAAACCCTAAACCCTAAAGTTTACCTATTGGGCTCCTAAGTTGGAGTCCTGGATTCTGAGCCCAGGGAGTCTCTGTGGAGCCTTTGGGCTGGGCCCCTTACGGCTTAGAGGGTTTAGGGTTTTAGGGTTTACGGCTTAGGGTTTAGGGTTTAGGGTTTAGGGTTTAGGGTTTAGGGTCTTAGGGTTCAGGGCTTACGGTTTAGGGTTTAGGGTTTAAGGTTTTAGGGTTTGGCGCTTACGGCTTATAGGGTTTAGGGTTTAAGGTTTTAGGGTTTGGGGCTTGCGGTTTAGGGTTTAGGGTTTAATGTCTTAGGGTTTAAGGCTTACGGTTTTCGGTTTCCCCAAACCCCTACCTTTTTCAGGGACTTTTAGCCTGGAAACCTCAAGAGTCATTCTGTTCGCGATGAGTTCTCTTCCTAGACCCCCGCACTTTCCATCCTAACCTCTAAATCCAAACCCACAAACCCTGAACCCTAACCTTAAACTATTAAATTCTAAACCCAACACCTACATGATACCACCAAACCTAAACTTTGAACCCCAAACCCTTGATGTTGGCGTAACCACAAGACGACGGCTTTGCCCGAGGCTTCCCTTCGTTCCCGCCAGCTGGGGTTTAGGGTTTCGGGGTTTAGGGTTGAGGGTTCAGGGGCTTAGGGTTTTTGCGTCCCATATCTCCAGAAACGCCTGAATAGGTTCTGTTGTACTCTGGACATAACAGGCCTCAGCGTGCAAAGGTCCGACCATCATCAACATCGAAGCTACATACGACACCAACAAAACAAACACCAAGACCCGAGAATCGGAAACACTCACCTCCCCGAAGCGAGGAACCCTAAACCCTAAACCTCAGATGTAAGCTCATGCCAGCACTGCCCACCACCCCGCGCGGTAGCTGCAAGGCATGGCCCCTACTCTCGTCCTCGGCGAGTTTTGAGACCCGAACTCCATGAGTCTACAGCCTGGATTTGTTTTATATACGGCCTTCTGTGCCTTCTGGTGGGGCTCTATTTAGGTTTGTTGTTGTTGTTGTTGTTGTTTGTAATGGGGGTGTCATAGGTTTGTGTTCTAAGATAGTGTTCAGAGCTTGGGGTTCAAGCTTACGGTTTCGGACTGGAGTTTCGGGACTGCGGTCATCATCATACCGAGCTGGTGATAAATGGATCACGAAGCCTAAGAACGACGGGTGTGCGTAGGGCTTTGGTGACTGTCGTGACTTTCATGTTCGCTGGCAGTTATCTGATCACTACAGAGCTTGTTTTGTGTTGTCGTGGGCAAGCAGATTTAGCTTTAGGATGGGAGGTGGGATTTCGGTTTGCGGCTTCTCCCCTCGTGGATTAGACATCCTTGTCAACACATTGTTCACCAGCGTAACCCCCTGCCTCGTCCCTGCCCTTGCCCACCACAGCCTACTTTCGTGTAGGGTCCTAGCATAAGACCTTACTCACACGCAGTAAGAGAAAGTAGTTTACGGCTTCGATCTAGAAACCCAAACATTCTAAGTACCCGTATAGTAAGTATTTTGGGCCCCAAAGTATCTAGCCTAAACCCTAAACCCTAAACCCTAAGACCCTTAGGGAAAGCTCCTGCAAGCGAATTTTCCAGATCCTTGTAAACTCGACGGCCCAGAATCCTTCTAAGCCCCTCAACCCCTCAACCTCCTACTCCTTCCAATGAAATCCGATCTATGCCCCAAACCCAGGTTTAGGGTTTAGGGTTTAGGGCTTAGGGTTTAGGGTTTAGGGCTAGCTCCATGAGTGTAGTGTATCTGGACCCTGCCGGCGCCCTCCAATGCAATTTTCCAGACCTGCCTTATTTCATGAGTAGTTAAGCGAACGTTTGGCCAGAAGCGAACTACATTGGAGCGAACAGGTGCTGTGCATTCAATGCGTAAAGTGACCTCTAAAGATCCGAAACCCCTTTCTGCCCCCAAAACCCTAACCCTTCATTCCTCCTAAAATCCCTGAACCCACATAACGAAGCCCTCTGGAAGCCCCTACAAAACCCGAAAGACATGAAGCCCTCCAAAACCGCACAGACTCCATATATAGATATCCTACATAGCCCCCTTAAGCCCTAAAGCAACCCTCTAAAACTCCCTATTTAGGGTTTAGGGTTTAGGGTTTAGGGTTTAGGTTAGCCCCACGCCTAAAACCCCATGACATATTTTCCTCAAGGACTCGAATCTGAGCCCCAAGCAGCTGTTGCATTCCCCTGTGAGCGGAGGAAGAGCGCGAATTCCTCGGGGGACCTCGGAGAAGTTTTAGGGTTTTGGAGTCGCTTTCGGAGATGAGGTCCAGGGATTTGGCGGCTAGAGTTTGGGGTATCAGGTTTCGAAGGAGGTTCGATACTTAGCGGATCGGGGAACCGAGTAAATAAGGTTTTAGCTAAGGTATCTACACATATAATCAGTTATAACCTCAACTTGAGAGGCCATCAGGTTTTGTTGGTTAGGGTGTAGGGTTTGGGGTCTGGGTTTCTGCGGTTTAGTATCAGGTTCTGTAGGGTTCTGCAGGGCTTGGTGCGACATTTTACATGGTTCAACCTGGTTTTGTAGGGCTCAGTAGGGGCTCAGCAAGCTTGCTGGTTTGAAGATCAAGGATTGAAGGTTTCGATAGGGTGGAGTAGACTTCGAAATCGGGTTGAATAAGCTTACTAAAATATTGACAGGGTAAAAAAGTCGAGATGTTACTGGTATTCGGTGCTTCAGAAGTGGTCATGTATCATGAGTTCTGACTGCTGGAGCACCACCTGCCCAAAGCCCCTCCCCAATCCCCCATCGGCACCATTGCACCGGATCCAACATAAAACCAGACTTAGGCTTAATTAGGCTCAGTTAGGTTTGAGTAGGGTTTAGTCGGGAACTCCGCTGCAGCACTAATGAGGTGTACCTAGATCTAAAATACATCATCAGATGCAGATGCCAGCTTGCAACGGCTTCTGTAGTGGAACTCTCTGCTCACGCAGCAGGTGCAAACATGCTGAACTTCTCCAGGCTACAGATGGTGTTCCGACTTTAGAGGCAGAAATGCAGGCGTGCCGTGTCTAAGAGCTGGGTTCGAGTAATTTGAGGTTGGTGAGGTTCCGTGTTTCGGGGTCAGTCGAGGGCTCCGGTGCCAAAAAGGGAGGGAGTCCAAACCGCGCTGGCAGGATAATGTAATGTAGGGGTCTAAATAATTACCAATACTATTTTGGGGGGGTTCCTTATTATCATCATAGCCTAATGGGCCCCAAAACCCTATTCTAAATATTGAGGCCCCTATATTAGCAGCCTGGAATCCCTCCCCACCATTGCTTCCAATCTTGGGCTTCTATCACAGAAGCTGTACAGGCAAGCTTTCTGTGGGTTTACCAGATGCGGGCTTGATATGGTTTCAACGAAGTTTCCGGGGCCGCCGATTCTGAGGTCTCGGGTTCGGAGGGCTCCTGATGGTTCGAAGTCCCGGCTCTAAATTCATGGGTGCTAGGGCTGACAGGATTAGGGTTTAGGGTTTAGGGTTTAGGGATTAGGGTATGATTAGCTCTTTTATCGTAGCGGCATCGTTCTGCCATCTGCCTACTTTTGAGCTCATATAGCCAATATGATACGCAAGGTTCTATGAATCCTAAACCCTAAGCCCGAGTTCTATGAAGTTGTCCATTCTATGAAGCTCTTCTTATTGAGTCGCCCTGCCTTCGGACTTACGTAGGCTTCACATGGGCGCTTACCTAAACCTGCAATAACCTCTGCTGCAGTTCCTTATTCTAAACCCAATACAGAATTTACAAGAAGCTTTTGATAGTCCAAGGCCTCTAACTATACTTATTCGTGAGCATGGGGTTGAGTGGTGCAGTTCAGCCAGGTGGGTTCATGGGTAGTGGTAAGTACTTTTCTACCCATGGACTGAAACTAAAAAATGCACCTGCAAACACCGAACAGCTGTAGCAATTACCTGGGAACAAGCTCCTCTGCCAATCCGGATAGCCTACCAAGCCTGTCTCCTACCTGTCTAGTACGATGCCCTCGAGGGCTTTTTGCGATGTTCTAGCCTGTCTAGCCCCCCGCAATTTGGGGATTCTTCGTCTAGGGAATGAGAGTCCAGCTTTTGGGGTGTAAGGTCCCAAGATGCTTGTAGTTTTGGGGGGTTTGAAGGGGTTAGGCTGCTCAGGGTTTATAGGGTCTGCAGCCGTGACTGGTTGAAGCCGCGATGCATCGGAGCGCTGCTGTACCCACTGGCTTGCCTCATGCGACATGGGGGTTTCAGAAAATAGGGGACCCTAATATAGCACCCTAAATAATAGGATCCTTATTATAAGAACCCCAAAATAAGGTACCCCCTAATTTTCGGAAACTCCCACATGTCACAACGCACCCCGGCAAACAATAGCAGCTTTTCAGGGTCAACAACTTCCAAGCAGAACCTCCTTTGTGCTGGATTCCTGCAATTCGGTGTACTAGGGCTCCCCTTAAGGGTGGGGGTGGGGGTTATGGTAGGTTGAAGAGGTGGAGCCCAGAGTTTAGGGTATCCCTAAACCCTAAACCCTAAACTCTAAACCCTAAACCCTAAACCCTAAACCCTAAGACAGTAACGGTCACTTCGGAAGCCAAGGTCCGCGCCCTTGCCAGCTCGAGCTGGACACTGCCTCGCCAGAGCTATCGCTTAATGTTCAAGCTCTCAGGAGTTGGGATGAAAAATGCAGTGTAGTGCATTGCAGAATAGTATGCTATAGTATTATCTTATAGTAGAGTTTATAATCAGCCGGTTTAAGGGTTTACTATAGTAACTTCGATAGTTCATGCTGCCGGGGACCTGATGCAGGTCTGGCCGATTCAACACTCAGAACAAAACTTGTTCGAGGCTGATGGCAGATGGTTTGGGGCTTAGGGTTCAAGCTTTAGGGTATTTTATAGCTATTGTAGGCTTAAGACTTAAGATGTACTTTGGCTGCTGGCTTTAGTTTGCTGCTTTGCTTGGGCTTCTTCCCTCTTCAGGTTGCCGGCCTAAGGCTAAGGACAAGGCTCTGTTGAGCTGGAGAAGCAATCCCTGCGTCCACAGCCCTAAGCCGCTCTAGGAGACCCTTCAAAACAGTTTCGGGTTTAGGGGTTCAGGGT